CTCTTGAGGTATTCGGCCAATCACAACGCATTGGATAGCTGGCCAATCAGAGCACACCTCGCTTTTTCAGACCGATGAGCTTTGTAAAAATCGAAAGGCGTTTCAGAAAGGCGGGGCATAGAGGAGAAACAATAATGTACAGTATGTGGAAAAGAATGTGTTTTTTTAACCTTAAACCGCATAAACACATTTCATTACACCAAATACACAAAATAATGTTCTTTTTAGCAACGTCATATGACCCCTTTAATTTATCTAATTTTGTGTCTCTGAAAATTAGCGATCTATGACATATGTTGCTTTTTGTGTCTGTTTGTTAATGAGAGATTCAAGGCCCAGGGTGGCATTTTGTTATAGTGTAATTATTTAATATAATTTAATATATATGTATACATATTTGTAATTCATGTAATTCATTCCCGAGTTAGTACATTTCAGACATCTTTGTTATTTATTAAAAGCTATAGGCTAATTGGGTAAAATCATTAAATATGAATGCATAATGTTGCTATTATGGCAAATCTTTAATTCAAATATGAGTAATTAAATATTTATATGTTATCTATCTATCTATCTATCTATCTATCTGTCTGTCTGTCTGTCTGTCTGTCTATACACACACCTAATAGGTATTAAAAACACATGTGTCATCATCCTGCACATAAACTTATATCTAAATATCAGGCATCAGTCTAAAATAACAAAACAGAGCCATAACCACCATAGACATTAAAAGAGGAAAGTTTTTCCTCAATCTGGAACATTTCATTATACCCTTGTCTAACAGAGTATTTTTTCTGTCACAGTTAATGAGACTCGAAATGTGATGCACTGATATAGATATAGTATAGGCCTATAATGAGAAGAAATCACTCTTTCAGATTCCATTCTTTCCTTTTCAAGTTGATTAACATATCATATCACTTCATATCAGATGAAGTTTAGGCTGAGTGCTCGATTCATAATCGTTAACATAAGTGTTGATAGCACAATAAGCCCTCTCGTCAGATTTATGGTCTGTTGTTTGGGAGTGTAAGTCACTGCATGCTTCTGAAGAAAGTACCAACATATTTATCAGCACTAAAAAACACTGCCGCCTGTGTAGTGCCTCTGTAATTTGCACAAGTGTATACCCCCCCACACACACACACACATAAACCCACACAGACGCAAAATAAATAAATAATGAATGAATAAATAAACAGTGGCTGAGAGAGGCGAGAAAATAAATTAATCTAAGGTTGTAAATTAATGATTATGTAAATCACAGATGTGTCTGTGTAACTCATAACAAATACAGGCATTGAGCAGCAGCACATACATTTACAATTATATAATTAAATAATATCAAATAAATATATAAATGGTGGCAAGAAAAAGCAGAAGGAAGAAAAGGAAAATAACTGTTGGTGTAACTTAATGACTGTATTTAAATGCAAAACACAAAATAGACGAAGGCCTGTTTAATCCAGATTTAAAGACAGCAGCATTTAAGGATTAGTTCACCCAAAATGAAAATTTGCTGAAAATGTACTCACCCTCAGGCCATTCAAGATGTAGAATTAGTTTTTTCATTGGAATAGATTTGGACAAATTTAGCATTACATCACTTGCCGAATGGGTGCCATCAGAATGAGAGTCCAAACAGCTGATAAAAACATCATAATAATCCACAAGTAATGTAAGTAATCCACAAGCTGTGTAATAAACAAGTCCATCAAGGTGTTTTTAACTTCAAACCATGCTTCAGGGCAAAAATACGATTCCTTTTCATATCCATAATATTGACAAGTCATCTTGTCTGAATCAGGAGAGAAATATGCACAGATCAAGCACTGTTTACAAATGATTACAAGAAGAATGTGAGAGGACAACAAGGGATAGACTTTTTCACTGGAGGAAGCATTTTTATGGATTATGGACTGGTTGGATGGATTTGTTTCTAACAAACACAGATTTTCACTTCACAAGACATTAATTGATGGACTGGACTTGTGTGGATTGCTTGTGGATTACTGTTGTCATTTTTATCAGCTATTTGGACTCTCATTCTGATGACACCCATTTACTACTGAGGATCCATTGGTGAGCAAGTGATGTAATGCTAAATTACTCTAAAAAAATCTGTTTTAACAATGAAGAAACAAACTCATCTACATCTTGGATGGCCCGAGAGTGAGTACATTTTCAGCACATTTTCATTTTGGGGTGAACTATTTTTTAACATTAACATTTAGCATATACTGAAAACTCCCTCGACAGCATTTAGAAAACCATATCCGATGACTGGCCAGATGACTAAATGTATATACATTGGCAGCCTCTTTTGTCCACCAGCACACATGCAAAGCAACTTAGTGGTCTTGAATTAAAGCCCCCTGAAATGAGAATGAAAGCGTTGTATAGGTTTCTGTGCCTTTGTGTTGCGACAGTGCTTGACTGGGCGTGGGAAGATAAATTGTATGCAAATTGATCATGACGCTGATGAATGCAGTCTAATGCATGGAAGGTGGAATAGGTTGCCAAACAATGTTGAGTAGACTTTTTCTAACACCAGATATGTAAAGTGCATTGTGGCCACTTGATTGCTAAATAGGTTTGTAAAGCTAACATTACAGCAAAACAATGTCTCTGAAGTCATTACCACTGCCATTTGCATAGACTTATTTCATGAAAAAATTACACATGAACAGATATATGACAGATGTACAATAACAAGACTTACAATTATCTTATTATGCTTGCAAGGATAATTGGAGAGAGCCTAGATAATTATTCTCCTACCAAAGTGGAGAGCACCAGTACATTCACTGGTGCTAATTTAATTTTTTTAATTTAATTTTTAATTTTTTAAGACAAATGGTCCCTGCTTCAAATATAAAAGTCAGTTTCACAAACAATACGTGTATTAGCATTCGGAGGCCTGTTTGTGCTATAATTTACATTTTTATTAAGTTAAGATAAGCATTGCCATAAATCTCTTCATACCCATGATGCCTCTCTCAGCCCTTTTGTTTAGCACATCATCGCAGTTTCACTGTGTAAGGAAATAATTGTTCATCTCTATTGTATGGTACAATACTCGTGTGATAGGCTTTTTTGTTTTGTATGTTCCTCATGAAATAGTCCAGGATATGAGAGGATAAGCTTGTGATGGATTAATATTAATTAGAATGCTAACCCCCATTGAAAGATAACATGATTTTTTTATATTTTTATCAAAAGAGGCAATTTGGATAACAGCAAGTCACACAGGAGACTAAGATACTGATAACTGAACTTAATGGACTGTATAACCCTTATTGTTAGTTGCTTTTGTAATAAAGTGTCTGCCTTGATGTAGTTTATAAGGTGAGTTTTAGGTATTTAATCATCAAATGCATGTTTCTGTGACAGCCAAACGTCACGTGTATTGTGCTTTCTTTTGGCCTCTTCCATTGGTTCACATCTGAACAAAAGGGACTTTGTCCATGTGCAAATCCAAACCAAACATTAGCATGGCCTTCTGATTATCAAGGTCTTTGCAAATCCATTTAGTTCTGCCTTTTCCCTTAGTTCCAGTGCTGAACTGAAAGGCGAGTGAAACATGATTATTGGCAGTGCCAAAGTCTCCCTAGTACACACAGCTTCATTTTCATAATATTCTCGTCAATCAACAGCTCGATCCACCAAGGTTTTGGAAGTAAATTTTCTGATGGCCTGTGCACATTCCATATCAGTCTGGGTAGACACAATTACAGGCAATATAAATCTTCTTCTCTTCCTGTTTTGGATATTGCATAAGTTACGTATTACTCATTCTGTATTTTTTATTTTTTTGCATTTCATTAATTACATGCTCTCATTTATGTTAATATTCAGTTGATGAAATATAATGTATTATTTAATCTTATGTCACAGTCTAAGTCTAGA